TCACTCGTTATTTCGCTGCACACACCTTACTGATTCCCTCCAGACGGTGACGCATGGGGAGCTGCTGCCGCTGCCGGTGACGACTCTGCCGGTGGAGCTGCAGACTCATGGGGTAGCGGGGGTGATGCTGGCGCAGGAGCTGGCGGCGGCGGTGACGGCGATGACACCTGCCGCAAGTAAGTTCTCACTCTCACACTGTCAGAGATGCTTCTCGACGATTGCATCGATCTCGCTTCACCATGCTAACATCGTGTACAGTTGCAACCAGACCGGACACTTCGCTCGTGAGTGCCCCGACAAGCCCGCTGGAGGCGGTCTTACTGGCGAATGCTATAACTGTGGTGAAGTCGGTCACAACAAGGCCGACTGCCCAAACCCTCGAGTCGAGCGCGAGTTCACCGGAACTTGCAACGCCTGCGGTGTCGACGGTCATGCCGCTCGCAACTGCCCCATCAATCCGATGAAGTGCAAGCTCTGCGATAAGGAGGGTCACAAGGCTCTCGAGTGCAAGGAGCGTCGGCTAGTCGACTGGACCGGCGTCCCTGAGCTCGAGGCCGAGGAGGCCTGGGCTAAGCTCATTGACGCAGCCAAGGAGAAGGACTTGGATGGCTTTCGCACCTGCCTGAAGGCCTACGCCCGCGCCGTCATTGACGACTTCTCCCTTCCGGATGTTGAAGCTGCCCTTCGCGAGGATGGTCTTCCTGTCTTCCTCATCGCCCTTCAGCAGGAGATTGCGGTCAACATGACCGTTGTCGACATGATCGGCAACCCAGAACGTGAGTTTGTCCTCACTATTCAACTGTCCGACAAGCCTCGCCGAGCAAAGATAGCTCAGGGCTGGCCTAAGAACACAGCTGAGAATCTGGAGCGTCTGGCCTCAGCTGGCTTTGTCCAGGACCGTGGTGTCCCTCTGTGCAGCAACTGCGGTGAGCTCGGACATATCAGGAAGGTAAGTGACCTCGATGCGGAGCCTGAAGGTGCTCACATTGCTAACAAGTTGCTAACACGTTGCAGCACTGCAAGGCAGAGCAGCCCGAGCCTGTTTCAATGACTCCCGCCGTCCAGTGTGTCTACTGTTCTGAGGAAGGCCACCGTGCCCGTGATTGTCCCAAGGAGCGCGTGAACCCTTATGCTTGCAAGAACTGCAAGCAGGAAGGTCACAACGCTAAGGAGTGCCCCGAGCCCCGTTCAGCAGAAGGTGTCGAGTGCCGTAAGTGCAACGAAACGGGTCATTTCTCCAAGGATGTAAGTTCACTCTCAAGTCTCCAAGCTGTGCACTCACCAACTACCTTCATAAGTGCCCCAACGTTGAGGCTCGTCCTCCTAGGACTTGCCGCAACTGCGGCTCGGAGGACCACATAGCCAAGGAGTGCGACCAGCCCAGGAACCCCGATAACGTCACTTGTCGTAATTGCGAGAAGCAGGGTCATTTCTCCCGAGACTGCCCTGAGCCCAGGGACTGGTCGAAGGTGCAATGCCAAAACTGCCAAGAGTTTGGCCATACCATCAAGGTCAGTTCCATTACTCATACCTACGTTCGATGCTAACACATACCAGCGCTGCAAGGCCGCTCCAGCCGAGGGAGATGCCATGGGCTCAGGTGGTGCTGTCGAAGCTACTGGTAGTTGGGGTGCTGGAGATGATACTACTGCAGCTAGCGGTGGATGGGAAGCAAGTGGTGGAGGTGTTAGCTGGTAGTGCACCGGCTCACGACTATCATGACAAGACTACGAGTATCACGACAGCATCTTCGACAACAAGGATAGGAAGGATAAGAGATTGCATTCTTGGTATCCTATGAAGGTTTCTCCTCTTAGCAGCCCAGCTCGATCAGCTACCGAGCTGCACAAGACTTATGCAGAATGAAAAGTTTTCCACTACCTCCGTTATCCCGGTACTCAGACTGCCTCGACATAATATGTATATACGTCGATGTTAACGCGCAGGGTGGATACTATGACAATGCGCTGCAGGCGGCTGCCTATAAAGGTCACGAGGAAATAGTGAAGATGCTGCTTGACAAAGACGCTGATGTCAACGCGCAGGGTGGGCAGTGTGGAAACGCTCTACAGGCTGATTCAGTTGGAGACCACGAGCAAGTCGCCACGATGCTGCTTCGTAAGGGGTGCCAACATCAACAAGCGGACCAACTTAGGAGACACCGTACCCTACCAAACATTGTTACGCGGCCATGTAATAGTTGTCAAGACGCTGCTTGAAAAGCACGCTGAGGTGAACAAACAAGGTAGATGTTATGGCAACTCACTGCAGGCAGCTTCATGTCAAGGTCGTGAATAGGTTGTTAAGATATTTCTTAACAATGGCGCTGATGTGAACGCCCAAGGCGGACGTACCGGCCCCGCACTTTTAAATCATTAGCTTTATAGAAGCATACGAGTCAGACTTAGAGGCCTTGGAGATCAATACATCTTCGATGATTTAGAAGACAGTAATCGCCGCGTACCCAGCTGTTTAATCCGCGATGCCTAGCTATGTTGGGAGTTTGACGACACAGTGGTGATAGGGTCGTGAGAGATCCTAATATCCTCACATCAGCCTTGCCGGTAGTGGCTGTGGCCTGCGAGAATACAAAATTGTTTCTTCTTTCATTAAACTGCAGTTGCAGTGGAGATTGTCATCGCATGTAGTATTGAAAATGTTTGTTTGCGCCTCTCTCTATTGAGAATTAGCTGTTAAAGGCTACCGCCACATGAGTTATGCTTTCACCTGCTATGCACACTATATCTTGACGATGGATACCGCGATAATGGAATGAATTTCTATTTGCAAAGCAGCTTTGTTGCATTGATTATGCAGCATAAAAACAATGAAGTGCGACTTAGACCTGGCTCAACAATCATCTGGATCCCACCACGCACCGGGGCCACCCGCTGTATGATTGACAATTTGCTCAAGGAAGTATATCTCCAATTCATACCATAGTTTCAGAACGTGGTTTGAAGACATCCTTAACCACCCAAAGTACCGCTGTGGGCCAAACCGCGGATTCTTTGGCACGCAAGCAGCAGCGTCATAGTCTGCTGCTACACATTTGATCATACCAAGGTCAGACTTCGCCAATACCTCTGTATCAGCTAGCATAAAGATTCGCCATGGGTCCCTGTCTGTGTTCATCGGCTGGCCTCCCGTTCCGTTGTGATAAAGCTGCCGTACTTCTTCCAGTGCTAAGCCGTCCAGAACCGCAGAATTTGAGCGAGTATCTAGTTTAAAGAGTTCCTCCGCTTTGGCAACTATGGCAGGGTCATCGGTAGATTTTGCGTTCCCTCTGACTGCATCCTTGGCGCCATTGGTGATGGCCTGGATCAGCTCGTCCCATTGCCGATCAGATCCGGGCCCATAGTACGTTCGATAGATGGTAAAGCCCCAAGACTGTAGGAAATTTAGAGGATTGTTGAACTCAGCCTCACTTATGATCTCGCCGTCGGGCAATTTGCGCAGCCTTTCCAAAAAATTCTTGATCATGGAACCCATGGTGACGTCGACAGGCGGTAAAGTGGTGCGGCTCACGCGGGCACGCCGATATTGTGCAAACTGCTGGAAAACATACGATGGCAAAGGGAAGACTTGGTGAGTGACTGTACTAAGTCTTTAAGAAACGCACGTACGGGATACGTATACAGGGGTTGACGCTAGACCGGACAGATCAAATACTCCGTCCTTGGCAAAACTCTCCCGCACAGAGCACATGATATGCGCATGGCGGTACAGGAGATTTGCATACTCTGCGAGGGTTATCTTTGATCTGGAAACCCAAAAAACCCCATAGTAGGCCTTGCCTCAGCATTTGACGGACCCGGCCATCCTAACTCTTATAGTACCTTGCATGCGAGCGCGCTACAAATCGCTATCTGGTAAGGGTCCTGCAGGTACGCTTGTATGTACCTGAGTTGCCTGATGTCCGCTGAACAACGCAAAGGCTCAGAATAGGCCAGAAGGATGAAAGCCAAATAACACTGCTTCAAAGTCTGCAAGAATGGTAACATACTGCGCAAGTTGCTTGGTTATTACTAGTTTAAGGCGAACTATTAATAACAGTATCTTGTGTATATAATGCGACTTATTGTCTAGAAGTCTTGTCCATTATTCCTTAGTCACTGACACTTATTTAGTAGACCTCTAATAATTCCAGCGATGCGGCTCTAGGTAGTTTTGAAATTGCTCCTATTAGGCAGTGCGCTCGCACTTTCGGGATCAGAGAAGAAGAGACAGAGACAGGTTGGCAATCTCAAGAATGATTGAAGTATCGGCTGGCGATAGGATGGTCTAGTAGCACCCGATACCGCTTTAGACTGTACCTATTACGATACAGCGGTCACTAGCTACAACACCTGTGAAGCTTTTTTTCTTTGAATAGTTAGGGTCTTATGTTTGAACAGTTCTTTAATTACGTACATTGGCCTTCTTCAATTTCTTGAGAAACTTGTACTAACTATCCTATAAGAATCCAAACATCTAAGCAGATTGTAGCGGTATGCAGGTTGGGAACTCATACTGCGTTGAAGTCAATTTTGGACTGCCTCGTCCGACGTCTGTGAAGAGCACTTTGATTGCCACCCCAACCACCCATGCCTCTGCCACTGCTACTGGCACACCCAAGCCGAGTCCTACGCAAGCTGGTCTTATTGAATTATGCACAAGCTTTTACTTTGCTGTTGCCAACAATAACTGCAACAAGATTGTCGCATTATACAGAACCTTCACATACAATGAGTTCGGCAATGGCTAATTGGAGGCGTGCTACTGGCTCGCTGTTTGCGATCGTATGCTCTGTACTCTCTTTCAGTAGTTTGAGCCTTACAGTTGAGCACTGGGATCGAGGTAATCCGGCCTGTTTTCAAGACGCAAGCGTCCACGGCCTCTACCTACTTTCTCAACTTCGGTCAGAAGCAATCACACTCCCCTTCATGCTATTCCGTCGCTGTTTCGAGTTTTTGTGTCAGTATATATTTTTTCTAATTTTCAACCACAACATCAAATCATCCGTTATGGTCTAGGTAAGCTCAACCACTTCCTCTCTCAGCAACTCCAACTAACAGCAACAAGTGGCTAGGATACATCGCTCTCATGGCAAGCGCCGATGTGGCCGGGGTTCGATTCCCCGTGACGGAATCATCTTTTTTGGACTTGTAGAGGTCGTGGAAGATGTTTTGTGGGTGTGGAGTAGGTGAAGGAATTTTTTAGTGTAGGGCGAACGTCACGTGACTAACACGTGGGCTGTACATGACTCTCGAGGTCAACACTGCACATGGCGAATGGTTTGTGCCGCAGAAATTAGTCATTACAATGGAGTTACTGTAGCCTTGTGAGTTGTTGTTCTATTGCAAGTAGAGCCTGGCTGGACTCTGATTACCTCCCGTATTTCCTGGAATCACCTTCTCACAGCTGGCGCTCTTTGCTTCTTGACAAGCCTCTTCGACGCGTCTTGCTCGGATCACCCTCGCCTGGACGATTCCAACTCCACAACAACCCTCATTGTCCATTCTTATCAGCCCTCTCACTCCTGTTCCCCAGCTCTCGCGGCATTTCCCCTTTCTCCGCCATGTCATTGAGCACTTTCTCGGCGGTCTTCATGGCGTCCACGCCAGCCGGGACGCCGCAATACGTTGTCGCATGAATGATGGCCTCGCGAATCTCCAGCTCAGTCAGACCGTTGTTTCTCGCGCCTCGGATGTGCACAGCTAGCTCCGGCGCACGGTTTAGCGCCATCAGCATGCCGATGTTGATCAGGCTGCGCTGCTTCTTATCAAGACCTGGCCGTGTCCATGCGTAGCCCCAACACCACTCCGTCACAAGCTCTTGGCCGGCTCGTGAGAACTCTGTCGACCCGTTTTCCAGCGCGGTGTTGACGTAGGAGTCGCCCACCACGCTTCTCCGCATCTTTAGGCCTTCTTCGAAAAGCTGCTGGTGCATTTCGTCGTATTTGGGGTCGTTTGACGGCATGGTGGTGTATATGCTGTATACGTGGAGACGACAGCTATTGCTCAGAGCTGATGATGGAAGATCGACTTTCAGGTTCGATACCAAGTGCAAGTGCAGCAATGCGAGAGCTGCTCTTATGGTGAACGAGCAGCAACCGGAGTGCACCCCGCAATCCGACCTCGGACTACCCCAGTGCCCCGCCATCCCCAGCCTGACGTCTACGTCATGTCGCTCAGACTCCCGTCGTGCTGTCCTTTACGTTTACATATCTTACTGGGCACTGCGGAGCGTCGTGATTTACGAGTCTTCATACTTTGACTGCCAGTCCTCCTGACCACCCAGGTATCTATACACTACCCGAGAATCAAGATCTCGACAGCTTGGGTCGTTGGCAGCGCCATCGTATGTGTCCAACCCGATGTCACCGAGTACGTTCTTCGATCCAACTCGTTTCGCCATCTCAACTGCCAAACCGAAATCTTTCCGCATCAACTGCACCTTGAAGCCCTGCTTCCAGCCACCAGACGAAGGTGCATGAGGATACACGTGCGGAACAGGACAGAACTTATCACAGATGGTGTTCTGCGCGGTTCCAGCAGCGTACACCTTCGCCAGTGTTCTGGGATCGAGGCCAGATCTCATTCCCATATCGAATGCCTCTGAGCATGCAATGGCGATGATCCCGGACAAGTAATTATTTGACAGCTTCGCAGCAAGCCCCAGCGATGGGCCGCCACAAGGGATCACTTGCTTGCCCATGAGCTCCATTAATTGCTTCAGGCGGCCGAAGTTGGGGTCCGTCTCTGCGCAACCCAGAAATATTGCAATCGTGCCTTTGATGGCCCCGACCACGCCGCCACTCACAGGCGAGTCGTAGAAAGAAGCTGAGGGGAAGTGCTTCGCAATATGGTCTTTGACCTCCAGATTGGTGGCTGTGTCGATTGTCGAACAGTCAATGAGCAGCTTGTTGGAGACGTCGGTGCTGCAGACGCCGTTCTTGGGACCCAGGTATACCGAGCGGACGTGCGAGCCTTCAGGGACCATGGTCACGATTGTGTCCTGCATCCGTCAGCAACACGAAATTATTGAGCTGGTTGCAATCCAACATACAACGTGTTGCGCAACATCCGCTGCACTTGTCCCTTTGAAGACTCGATTTGGGAATGCTGCGCAGACTTCGTCCAGAACTTGCTCAACGACATCGTAGACCCATAGGCGTGACTCTTCTGGTAGCTTGTTCGCTAAGTGCTCTAGCATTGGTTTGCCCATGGCTCCCAGGCCGATGAAGCCCAGCGTCTTGAAGTTCGTCGAGTCTGCCATTGTATCTACTTAGGTAGGATTGGCTGCAGAGCTTCGGGCAAAAGTCTGTAGAAGCGAGATATGCGACAGTGAGTCTGAAAGCAAGAACAGTGCAATGACGAAGTTAACCTACGCCACTTCTTATCAAAGCATACACGGCAGGCTAGCGAGCGGGGTAAGAGCTTCGGCAATACAGCTTGGCCAATGCAAGCGTCCAACTATATGTGGGCTGGAGCCTGCATAGATGTCTTTATGGCCTTCTCCCCGTCTCTCTGTGCCAAGTCTGTCTTCCTGAACTATCTTCATTGCGATCAGCTTTGATCTTACTTCCCTGCTGATGCGACAGAAAGTATACAATATGGCACAGGATTCCTCTCAGGCCTCAATCGTGACCGTATCTGTACACGCTCTATCTTGCGGCCACTTTACACTTCCTGAACACCAGTTCGTCAAGCCTTCGACTCTTGAAGCGCGTAGAACCGTCCCTTCATTAGCGTTTCTCATCCAGCACAAAAGCCAGACAGGCAAAGTAACGCGCATTCTATTCGATCTCGGGCTTAGAAGGGACTTGGAGAGATACCCGCTCCCAATCCAGAAGCACACACAGAACAGGAGACCCATCACGACAGAGCCCGACGTCGTGGAGAACCTGGCAAGAGGAGGCTTGTCGCCAGACGATATCGATTATATCATCTACTCGCATGTGCGTAGGACCTCCGTCTTTGAGGGTTGTGATGTCTGAGATCTGGATAACGGATAGCAGGTGCACTGGGACCACGTCGGCGAACCGCGCGACTTCCCAACCTCAACCTTCATCATCGGACACGGCTCACTAGCATTGCTGGCTGGTTCATCTGCAAAGTATCGTGGCGGGCACTCGTTCTTCGAATCCGACCTGCTGCCTGCCGCACGGAAGATCGAGCTGTCCGATCCACTTGTCGAAGACATAAAGACCGAGAGCCCCAAGGCCAAACCGAAGACACCAAACTTCTCAGTCCCGTGGCGTCAACACCCCTCCTTTGCCCTGCCACACACACTCGACATTTTCGGCGACGGCTCTGTACTCATCGTCAATGCGCCGGGACATCTACCAGGACATATCAACCTCCTCACTCGTACATCTGAACAGCATTATGTGTATCTTGGTGGCGATGCATGTCATGACCGGCGTTTACTGAATGGTGAGAAGCAGATCGGCGAGTGGACTGATACAGAAGGGCATGTATGTTGTATACACGTGGATCGCGAAGCGGCTGAGGAGACGATTCGGAGGATTAGAGAGCTGGAGGAGAAGGGCGTGGAAGTTGTGTTTGCGCACGATATTGAGTGGGAAGAGGAGCCGAAGAACAAGGGGAGATTCTTTGATACCGAGAAATGCAGCACTACAGAGTGAGGGCCTGTGGAAAAGGTTAGAGGGAGCCAGAAGTAGCAGCGACGTAGGAAAGAAACCTTTCAATTGGCTAGGTGCTAGATGTGTAACGTTGTCTCTAATATTAAACTGTTGACTACTAAATATGCTTGTTTAGCATCACAGGTGCGAGTGCTGCACAATGCGAAGTTCCCACTCAAACCATGTGGAGGTAAAGCTTCTATCAAGTGTAAGCTATTCCTTCAACAAAGGAGGTAGTCAAAAGCTCTTTGTAGATATCTTACAACCTTTTAATCCTTCTGCTGACTATGGGTGTTCTTATCTCACCAAATAAGGGAGCCTCATCAGATATTACTGCCTTAACACAAGAGCAGAAAGTAGAATTTGCACGGCTCAGTCGAGTCGGTCTGCCATATCATTCCGAAGCATAGTGGTGGCACATAGCAAGGCGAGCAATCGAAGCTTCCCTCATGTACAAAGAAAAAAGTTTGGAAGAATCTACGGCATTTGAGAAGGTCCTGTTTAAGAGAGGCCACGAATTGGGATATACAGTGATTGGAAAGTGGAGTTTCTATGGACTGTGCATTACTTCTCCCGCGCAATACTTTCGCCGACTATCTGTCCCGACTCCACATCTTCTGTTGCCCGCTGCGTCAGCTCAGATCGAGTACTCTCTGTCACTTCCCGCTTCAGTGTCACCCTCTTGATACCAAAAGTCGTCAACAGTCCCAGCGCAGCGACAACGGTGTAGCAGATGAATGTGCCCCTCAGCGCGCCCGTGAACCCTTTCCTGACAACGAGCCTCTGTGCTTCATCGAGCAATACAACAGCACTGGCCTGACTCACCGCCTCGCCGCCCGCAAGCTGCTCCGCAAATGGCCGAGATACACCCGCATCGATAATGCTAGCGAGTCTGCCGCTCATGAGAGCCTGGAAGATGACTTGACCGATGACGACACCTATTGCACCAGACAACATGCGCACGAACCCAAACGTCGCGGTACCAACAGCCATGTCTGAGTCCTTGATGCGCGTCTGCAGCGCAATTAGTGGTGTGTGGAAAGTTGGGCCAAACCCCGCTCCTATCAGGATTAAGAATCCAATTGCCTTGCCCAGATCAAAAGTCTCGGTAAGGCTGATCAACGCGCCCATACCAGCAGTTGTGAGCATCAAGCCAACCTGCAGCCAGTCCATAAAGCGCCCAGTCTTTTCGATGATGAAACCGGATGTGAAAGACACGATGGTAAGCGGGATAGCGAGCGCGAGCATCAGCACGCCTGTCGTTGCAGGGCTCTGGCCGGCGACGATCTGGAAGTACAACGGTACAAAATAGGCAACGGAATTGAAGACCAGCGCGTCGAAAGCACAGACGCCGAGGGCACTAAGGTTGCTGGTGTCGCGAAAGATGCGGAGCGGCATGATGGGCGTGCCTCCCTTCTTGTCTTCCCACCATTGAGTAACGGGGAAAATTAGGTAGGCCAGAGATCCGAGAACTAGGAAGGAGATGGGTATGGGCGAGGCA